CAAACCTGCTAGAAAAGCAAGTGACAGTGTTTAGTGCAAACAAAGCACTAGGGCAAAGTGTGGGATTGTTTGGTTTGTTTCTAGGTAGACAGGAATATTGGGTATTATCAGTAAAAGCACCCCTGCGTAGTTGTCCCTGGGCCAACTGCTCGTGTCGTGCCCTGGGCAAAGCGTGTTTCCTGAAGTTGGACAGAGCTGCAGTGTGATTCCTAGCTCAGATTCTGAGGGTCTTCCTTGATCAAAGACTTGCCAGCTGTGCCAGGCTTGCAACATTGGTGTGACCTCTGGCCCCAGCCAGCCCTTCCTGGGCTGAGAACTTCAAGCCCTCACCTTGTTGTACCCTACAGTGAGAGATGGGGTGTTAACTCTGGGGTGGTACCTATAAGCTGACTATAAAGTCTTTAATGTTTTACTACGCACCAGTTGCTTTCAAAGTCAGCCGAACTCATCTGGAGCCCCATGACCTTGCGTACATTTTTAGATCTCGCCTGTTTTCATACACTTGCAGCCGCGTACCTGTAACGAGTCACGATACAGGTTTCTCAGCTATCTGCGGGTATGAAAGCTTCAGCACTGAAAGCTTCAACACAGTTGACCCGTAGGTAAGCCCTGTAGGTAAGAAGTAGGTTTCAGCAGGCTCAGGTGAGACCTGCCACGAGAGGGAGACATCATGCACGCAGCCCGTGTGTTCCCTGAACACATCCACCTGGATAAGACAGCCTAGCCTGGTATTTTGTAACATGCCTGGACACAGGCAGCTGTTAGTGAAGTAGTGAGAACCCAAGCTTCGGACCTCGGTTGTGTAGTAGGTAGGTGTGATAGAGAATAGGGACTTATCTTTTGGCTAGTCACCATCTTCCAAGCATCTGCAGCGTGACTAACAGCCGCAAAGAACACAGAAAACGGAATCTAGATCTGCTAGCGATGGGATAGCATGTGTCCAGGCCTCTCTGGGTCAGGTCAGGGAGATCCTGGTGCGAGCAGGACCGTGCAGCACCGAAGGAGATGTTTCAGATACCCAACAGCTGGCTGGCGAGGCCGTTCCCTGTTCATACTGCAAACAGTCATTACAAAGGCTGAGCTACACCCCGTAACCAGCTTCGGCAGGCTGGGCCGGCGGGAGTGTTTGCACAGAGCTGTGAAAACACGGCGCTGCGAGCGCCCCGGCCGCTGCGGCACCCAGGACACTCGCCGCCGCTCGGGAGAGCTCCTTTGCTGCCTCAACACCAACTGAGAGATTTCATGGGAGAAAAAGCCCGTTCAGTGCGCACGGGACAGCTTCGTTTGCCCTCCAGATTGCGTCGGCTTTTCCCATGGCTGCAGCACAACAGCGGGGCTCTGTTTTCCTTTGGGAAGGGAATAAGCCGCTTCATCATTGTGATCTCTGTGCAGTGTCCTGTTGATAAGATCAGTTAACAGCATAGGAGGAAAACTCTAGATTCAGGTCTGAAATATAAAGTGAACGGGGCCTATTTGTTTAATTTGAGCTTCTAAGGTTTAAATCCCAGAGGAAATTAAATTAGGTGCCTAGAGCAATGGCAGTCTGTCATGTTTATTTGCTGGGAATGTCACCTTTAATATCATGCACATATAACGTGTGTGTGTTAATGTAATGGGGTATCACACTGTGCAGGAGCAGGCGTGCTGCAAGAACTGGAAACCTGAAATACTGTGAGTGAGGGAAGCTGAGTTGGGATTGGATTTATTCTCATCCTTTTCCGTAGGAGCAACGTCTCACTCACCAGCATGAAGGTAGTTTTGTGGATTGCAGGTAGGGATGGCAGCCTGATCTTGGGCCATTTTGATTGGGCTACTTGTAAGAGGAGAAATCTTGTCTAGGCGTGAATCCAGGGTGACAATACTTCTTGCTTCAAACCCCTCTTCAGCAGTTGGTGTGCTGTGGATGCATGCCTTCCCCCTGCAGCCTTGGGAGAGCTTGAGTGCCAGGTTCCCGTACCGAGGGACATGGCTGCTTGTACATTTGCTTACACTAGTGCTTTGGAGACTCCCTTCTTCTCCAGGAAGGAGAGCAGGTCTCCCAAGCAGCGTGGGGTAGTAGGTTTTTGGGTGTTTTTTTTCTGACTCGGGCTGTTAAGGACAGGCTCTGAGTGACACACTGTGTGAATGTCACTGCAGCAGTTTGTCATTGCAGCCTGTGATGCCTGCCCTCCACCAGTTAACTGTCTATGCGGAACGGCACTGCGATCTTTTCTCATCGCGCTGCATAGAGCAGGCTGCCATTGCTTTGATCCCACAAACATGGTCCATGAGACGGCTGAACTGTGGACTCCTGTCCCACTCCACTTATCAGATCCTTTAGGGAGCCAGTTCAGCTCACTAAGTCAGTGGAATTCGGGGGGGAGGAGTTCAGCTGGATTACCAAAACTCACTGAGAGGGGGCAGTGAGCTGCAGATGGGCTCGGCCACCTCAGGGGGTTGCACCCCAGGTCAGTCCTAGCCACAGTGCTCCACATTGGTTTGTCCCTCCTCTGGGAGTCTGTGGCTTAGCTGGGACCTGACCTGTCCCCCACCTTCACCCTCTCCACCCTTTGCTGTTTACCCCTGCACAGTCTGTCTTGTTTTCCTCCAGCCTCAGAGCAGCTGGCTGCCTTGCACACGTGGTTCCCATTTCTGTCCTGCCTCTGGCACCTTGGGAGCGCCCAGGGGTCTTCCTGTTGCGCTTGTCTTCTAGTCCCCCTGCCAAAGCTGCTGCTCCTCCTTCCTGC